CTTTAGTGCCAGCAGGATCAGTGGTGTTAGAGCTAAGCCATTCAGTGTGATGGGCATTAAAATCACCAACAACAACAATATTGGCAGAGGGGTAAAGAGAGAGAGCATGTTCAATTTGATCAGAGATAACATCTAAAAGAGTGCAATTATGGAAAGAAGGAGAACGATAAAGACAAAGAGAAAGGTGATAGAGTGAAGAGGTGCTAGGCGAAAGTACATAAAAGAATGGTCAAAGGATTTGAACCTGATTTCACGACAAGTAGGGGAATTAATGCGTATCTATACCCCTAAATCTAGCATGTGACTATTGGAGTCTTTACGAATCAAAGGAAAGTACCCATCAACACTGACATCTGAAGAAGGAATTGCAGAATTTAAATTTGTTTCACTGAGTGCAAACAAGTCTGGTCAATTTTGCAGGAGGTAAGACTCAACTGACGGAAAGTTGCTTTGCAGACCGCGAATGTTTGTAAAATATATATTAAAACATTTAGGTGGTGGGGATGGTTTTTTAGGTTTAAAATTTTTGGTTAATTAAGTCATGATTAGGGTTTGATGAGAACTTGACTCATTCATAGATAGAGCACAGCCTCCTAGTCAATGAGCTATTCAGTTGTCTCAGTCCTGTTAATTAACCCATAGGCCGTGACATAGGGCTCCTTATGTGGCCTTGACAATGCACACCAAAAGCATTAACAGGAACACCATCCATGCGCAAAATGGCACTGTTAATGCTCTGATATTTTGCAGCTATTGATAGAATCAGCCTCTCTGAGAGCTACCACAGAGTTCGGGAAATCTTACTACCAGCCGGCCTCAGAATAGATGAAGAAGGGGTTCAAGGCTTGTTAGCAAAACTTTTCTGCTTATTCCTAAAGTTTTTGCCTATGAGGCCTTCTACAAGGCAGTAGCTGGATGCAGTTAACATCTGCCCAAGATGAGTGTTTTTATCGAGACACCATCTCTAGCCTTTACTTAACCAAGAGCACCAAAGCATGGGAATTTTTAGTCGGAGTTTATTTCTCCTAGTTTTTGCCTAAGAAGAGCACACTCTGCAAGGCAGCAGGGCTTGTGGCAGGTGGTACTGAGTTACGTGAAACAAGTAGCAAGATTGATCTTGATTACCCAGACCTGACTTGGAGTAGTTAAAAGGAGTTACTTCCCGCAGTAGTTAAAAGGAGTTAATTCCTATTTAAACTATAAATTTAATTTTACCTATTCTGTGGTGGGGTACAAACTCAGAACTTCTTTCTTACGAGAAGGGTGATCTACCACTACACCGCAACCGCATATTCAACTTACGCAATGCAGAAAACAAACTTTTTTTTGTGATACCATATACTTTACCAAACGATTCTTTTTAGTTTAACTATTATTTGGAGTTGAAAAAAATAAATTTAGAGACGCTACTTAACAAAAGAAATAATACCATATATTCAACTTACGTTATTCTACTTGAGTTACTTAGCGATTATTATTATTGAGTATTTTTGTTTAACTATTAATTAGAGTTCCACGTTAGCTTAGAGTTACGTAACAAAAGAACTGCAATTGTATTAAACTCAATCATTCAAAGTATTTAACAAGAGGAGTTTTTAGTAGCCAGTGATTCTCTTATTGAGATATTTTTTAATGACATTAATGGAAGTTATCAAATCGATAGCAGTTTTTTCCCAAAGAGTAAGAAAAACTTAAAAAAATTAACGATGCGTCTTTATATCAGTTGAGAGTTGGTAACAAAATACATAACATTATAATTGGTAAGAGTGCGTTCATGTGGAACGCATTAGAACTTGTGTGTTAGCTAGAAAGATATTGTAGTGGTTTATGGTTGTTCATATAATACTAGTTGCAAATATGTTTGTTATCAAAACAAATCTTTAATGCAAATAAAATAAGATTTAGTAGTTATATATTTAAAATAGTGAACACAACAAGTGTGTTGTCTTCCGAGCAACAAATACATTTGGTGTTTCTAACTACATAATTCATCCAACAACTAAATCTGTTTAATGAAAGGTATAAACAAATTTATTTTCTTCTGCAGTGAGCTTTCAAGTTTATCTTTATTTATTATTTTATTTATTTGTTATTTAGGTCCCCCAAGAAGTCCTAACGGTCTTGTCACAAAGCACCACGGAAGTCCATTTAACCAGGAAGTTCACGCCTCCTTCTTGAATATGACGCAAAATATGTCCAAAACTTGTTTCGAACCTGGATCTGCTGCTTATAAAGTAAGCGCTCTAACTACTGCGCCACGGCCGCACTCCTTCCAGAGCTGAAAAAAGAAAGCTGAAAAAACAAAATACAGAAGTTGCAGCTGTTGCTGCGAAGAAGCAGAAAATGCTTACCATCTGCTGTTTGACAACGTAAAGAACCGGAAGACTCATAACTTCAGAGAAGTGCTGATAATTACATTAGCAGTGATGCACAAGAAATGTGTGACGTTAATCATACAGTTTAATTGATATTCGATTTCAATGTGCAAAATGTAATTGACAATAATAATACAGCCAGCTGGCCCATCAGATTTGCTAATGCACTTCGAGTGGAGCGTGTAAAACTCCGATCTAACAAGGTAGCTCGATTTAACTTTCCTCTGAACAATGGACGGCGTTGCTTCACAAAATAACTTCTGGATTTTTTGTTCAAACGGTGGTAATGTTTTGAGAACAAAATGGGCTGGATATTAAAGACTCCAGAGGACATGGTTGTAATAATAATAGGAACATAAAAGACAAAAAAAAGTGGTGTGCAAAAAAGAATTTATAAGTTAATAACCGTTCATAACATTTTTTTTCTGGACTTGTGAAAACGCAAAATAGTTTGAATAGAATATAAGTAAATGCAATATCTCTCACCTCGTTTCCATGTAAAATAATGCAGAAACTAGTTAAGAAGGCAATCATGCAGCATCTAAAATCAAACATTATTTCATCAAATAGTCAACATGGCTTTTTAGAGAAAAAAGCATGCATTGTAAATCTCCTTGAAAAAATGGATTTCTTAACTGAAAATTTGGCCAGAAAACTACCAATTGTTACCAAACTAGCCACATCAATCAATGCTTTAAAAACTAAAAATGTACGGATTCAAAGGTAATCTTCCCAACTGGATAAAAGCTTTTCAACTTAACAGGTCTCAACGAGTCATCCTTGGTGACACTAATTCGAATAGGTTACCTGTGACAAGTGGAGTTCCGCAAGAATCAGTCTTGGGTCAAATTTTATTTGTCATTTTCATCAATTATCTGCCAGATGTAATAAGCAAAGAAAATATTTGTAAGATCTACGCTGATGACACTAAAATTCTGAGCATTGTCAACTCACTAGCTGCTCAACTTCAACTCCAATCAGATATTGACCAAATTATTCATTGGATTGAGTTTTGGCTCATGTAGCTAAATGCAAACAATGCAAGGTCATGCACATTTTCCCCAAAATAAATTAATCTCTTTCATGTACTCAATGAAGGAAATATGGCCTCGTTAAATAACGACTCGAAACGTTCAAGCACAGAACGTGCTTGAACGTTTGCAACGTTCGTCGAACGCGCTTGAAAGTTTTGTATTAGCGGGGTGAGGCAAGTATTTATAATTTCATGTATAAATATTTTTATTTGATATTATTATCTAGCAATGCCACATAAAAAAAGCTGACTTTTTTGATGAACTAGGGTTAAAGAAAAAAAGGTTTTGTCAAAAAAATAAAATATATGATTATCAAAAAAAATATATGATTATCAAAAAAAATAAAATATATGATTAAATTTTATTTCTAATTATCAAAATAAAGCTATATTTAATTAAATCCTCATTGCAATATAAGCAGTTTGTGTTTTACTTAAGTAAATTATCTCTTTTACTCGTGTTAAAACAAATTTCAGTGTTGAATACTATTTTTTTACCTTTTTAAGTTGCAATGAAGTTTTATTATGTTATCAGTTTAAATGTTTAAATTTTTAAGTCAATATTTTTAATTTCAATAAAAAAAGAAGCAAGCAAAGGCTTTTTAATAGTACTCATGTACTTGTATAGATAAAGATGGACAGACAAAATCATTAAAACTTATAGAAGAATTCTTCAGTCAAAATGTTAATAAAAATAAGAGAAAATTTATTTCGCGGTCGTTCTCTGCTAATGATAGACTTTAATTGAAACAACATTATACACAAATGCAAATCCAGCGGAAATTCAACAATGTATACTAATGTTGGCCAGTGGGCATGCGTCGTACTGGAGACTTCTGAAGGACGTCTCCAGTACGACGCAAATTAATTTCATATTGTTGTTAGCTTCAAAGCTGCAATATTCATTTGTTGACATGTTGTTATAAAAACACATAGGTTAAGTTAAAATGTATCAAGTTTATAATTATAAAAAAGCAAAGTTATATAAAATACAAGAAAGTAAACAGCTATAAATAACCATATTTATTAGGTTTGTTTTATAAAAATTAAAATTTATTTCTACCCCTTCAACTTTTAATTGTTTGAAAACATTTAAAAATTGTAGGGTTAGAAATAAATTTAAATTTTTATAAAACATACCTAACAATTATGTTAAATATTTCTGTATGATGACTTCTTTCCTTCAACAATTTATTTAACAACCAGTAAAAATCAGAGTTAACGTTTACGGCATCCCTCAAAAACTTATTAGGAGTATAATATAAACATATAAAGACAATACACAGAATATATACACATATAGCAATAAATATGCTATATACAAAAGTTATTTGTTTTAGTGCGAGCAAAACATTTAATCTTTAATAAACCCAAACCATTTATATTAGTTTAAAATAAAAATTAAATCATAATTTAAAAGAAAGTAACTTTTTTTATTGTATTATCTTTATTACTAATTGCATATTGTTTCAAAAGTAAAATTGTCCATAATCATATGATGATTTATAAAAAAGTATTTTTATCAGTAATTTGAAGCCATGTTTAAGAAATTTAAACACTTCTAATGTATATAACTAATTAACAAAACTTACATTGAACAAAAACAGTTGCACTTCTCGTAATTGCTATTCCATTTCCAAATACATTCAGTAACAACACACTTCCACAGCTGTTGGCATAAAAAGTACTCAAATTGTAAAAATATTTATATATATTGTTAGAAAAGTCAATGAAATTATAGGCACTAAATGTTTGGTCTCCATTCACTATATTGCTATTAGGTTTTGGCCTACCATATAATATTGATTCTACAAACAGTGTGTTACCATCATTTACAAAAATTGTGTCAGGAAAACTCAAAATTACTGGGTCAGCTATTAAATGAGAACCAATAAAATATTAAAATTATGATTCCAACAGTTATAACAACAAAATTTAAAACAATAAACACTTAATTTAGTCTTGATCGTGCTGATTTTAAAATTTTATAAAATTATCACAAAGAAAATTTATTATTGCAATAACGAGAAAATTTGTAAATCAACTTCGCTGCACTAATTCATTAAATCCTGTATAATGATCAATATTACTATCATCATTATTACAAGCACCAGTATTGTTGTAATGATTAACATCAAAAAAGATAATACCCACCTTTAACATCAATAGTTAAACTTTTGTTAACAACACCAAATGTATCACCATTTTGATATGTAAGTTTAACTGTTAATGTCATAGAATCATTGGCTCGCAAATTATTCAAGTTTATTATATAGCCAGTACTTGAATCGTAAACAGCTGAAATTCTATCACCGAAAAGAATTCTGCTATTTGAATATAATGCAAAAGATGATACAGTTAATGCTACTGCTAAGTCTATACTAGAATTATACAACCATTTTATAACAGTTATTTGATCATTTGGTAAAAGTGTAATTTGGGTTGTTATAGTAACATTGTCTCCTTCTTTTAAATTGTTCTTGCCAGCAGAAACATCTATAGAAGCACTCTTGACTAAAATAAATAAAAATAAAACAAAATCATATTCATTTTTGAGGAAATTATAGTTATACTCACTTAATTCATTTTTTTTTTTTAATTTCATTTTCATTGTTTATATTCCCACAACTAAAAAGAAAGAGCTCAAAACAAATACGGGTTTCAAAATTTAAATTCTAATTTCATATTTAAGTATAAATATGAAATTAGAAACATTGTTTTCATATTTGTCTTGATTATTTTGTTGTTTAAGCATAAGAAACTCATTTGCAAATATTTTTTTAATTTTTATATTAAATCTTATCAAAAAATATTTTTCCTAAATTTTTTTTTTTCAACATAAAATTTTATCAAAAATATTTTTTAATAAAATTTTAAAACTTAAAATCAAACATATTTTTGTTGATGGGCAAAAATGTGCTGTTTTAAAGAGAATTTCGATTGCTATCAAATTTGGATCAACTTTAATCCATTTACATTAAATCAAAACATTAAGTTCGCAATTACATTAAGTTCGAGGGCTGGGAGTAACCTGCGAAATAATTTATTTCGAAAAAAAAACTTTATCATCAGTTCCTTACAAAAGGAGCTTTTTAAAACGTGCACTTACAAAAAAGACACGGTAACATTTAAAAGGCAAACATTATTATTAATACAAAACAAAAATAAAATGCTATAATTTATTTTTTAAATAAAAACAAGATTGTAAAATGATTTTTCAATCATTTATACAACTCTCTAATTTCTGCTATTGAATTAATTATGAAGACAGATACATATTTAAACGTTTCTTGATTTTTAAATCCAGAAACGTATTGTAAAATTAAAAAAATTAATTTTGTTTTTGTAAAATGTGACAAATTATCTATTTAATGAAAGTTTTTATTTCCGATTTCGATTAATTGTGTTATTTGGGATGACTTAATAAGCGCAAATTGTGAGTTCATAAGTGAGAACTGGTATAAGAGCGCAGTTGTTGCAAAAACTGAAATTAGTGCGAGCTAGAAACAGCAAAATAATTTGCAAACATTAACATAAATATAAGCTGGCTAATAGTGCAGATGCCAGTCAAGATGCCAGTTCGCATCTATGCAAATGTATGCAAATTCTTTTTGCGCACTTACTCCAATTTGCGCTTATGCCAGTTTGCGCTTATGCTAGTTTTTGCATGAGCTTTGTACTTATGCCAGTTTGTACTAATGTAATTTGCTCATTTTCAGCCTCCTTTATTTTGGATCCATTTGTAACATTTGTAGCATATATTTGTTAAACAACTAGTATAAACACTAAGTTATAGCACTAAGGTCTTAAAATAAATAACTTTATTTTAAGACTTAGTGTTTATTAAAAAAAATTTCTGACAAACAATTACTGACAAACAATGTGTTTATCCTTTTACGGATTTAACCTTGTAAGTTAGCATCCCAAAAAATTGTATAAAAAGTGATACTGTGGTTTGAAAAATTTTCTTTAATATCTTTTGTATAAAAAAAGAACATCGCAAACAACATTACTTCAATTATCATTAAAAACTGATCAAAGTAATACGTTTTACGGTATTTATTATTTTGCATTGCTTTAAAATTAAAACCTAAATAAATCTGATGCCTAGTTGTATGGTTGAAAAGATGATAAACATCATTATTTCCATTTAATGTAGCAATCATGATTGATCCATTTGGTTTAACTTACAAATTCTTAACTATTGTAAATCAACACTTCAAACTCGTTTAAGTTATTAACAGTCTAGCATGACAACAGCAAAGGTTTTGTTGTCTAGATTGACAATAATAAAACTTTTGTTGTTGTTAATCTAGACTGATAATAACTTCGATGAGTTTAAATTGTTGATTTACAATAATTGATAATTTTTAAGTTGAAACAAATGAATCAAATGCTTGATAGATGACTTGATGATCTATTTAGATTAGTTGCTACATTGTTTGGAAATAATGTTTATCATTTTCTCCAACCATTTAATCAGACTTATTTAGGTCTAATCCAGGATTAACGAACCACAATAATTTAAAAGCATTGTGTTAAAGCAATGCAAAATAAGGAATACCGTAAAACGTATTTACTTTAAACTGTTTTTAGATTAATTATCAAGTTTAATGTTTTGTATCTTAATAACTTCTTGACGTTTTTTATCCAACGTTCCCTACAGATAAATATAGACAGAAAAATTATGTCATTTTAATGTTATTATTTTTTTTTTCTTGTACCTTTATTTTTTAAATGAGTTTGTGTCTGAAGTAAACCCTGTAATAAGGTTACTTTGGACAAACATATTTTTCAACTATACCTCAGAATATTTTAGTTGATAGCGTCTAACTTCTAATATATGATAATTAAAAATGGATTTAAATAATACTGACACAACTGTGTATGTTATATATTAATAACTATTTTGTTTTCATATATAAAGTTTATAAATTCTTATATTTAATAATAAGTTTATTATTAAATATAAGAGTGTTAAGTATATATAAAAGTGTAAAAAGGTGAATAAGAATGTAGTGATAAATATAAGAACCTTTATTATTATATATAAAAATAAAATTTTTTGTAACAATATGCACTATTAGTTGTTTAACTTGTCAGAATTGATTTTTTTAGTCTGTTTACTATGCAATGATTTGAATTTTGACAAGGTTTCTTCATGTTTTAAATTTTTGAGAGGGTTTCTTCATGTTTTGACTTTTGTTTGTTTTAGTTTAGGTTGTTGTTTGGTTTTGCTAGGCCTCTTGTGTTTTAAAATTCAAAAATTTTTTGCCTGCAAATAATAGTTTTTATGTGTGTTTATTATTTTATTACTGGACGATCGTACAAATAATGACTTTCAAAGTATTAATAAATAATAACAACTAAAATGTATATGTATTAAATGTATTTATAAGATAACTAAAATCAGCGAAGAAAATTTAGAATATTATTGAATTTAAAATCACCAAAAAAAATTAAAGGAGGGATGGTGGAACAAATTTGTTGCGTACATTTAAGAGGGAAAGGGGGCAGTTTAACGTGACAATATGTTATTAGGGAGTAGAGGAATATGCTCTAAATTGTCAAAAATCGTGTGACCTACATTATAACGACTTATGTGACCTAATTATGAACCTCTAAACCATCAGTATTAACGGTATATGCACAACTTAATATTGAAAATATAACATAATGTGTATTTATTTTTTTATACCATTACTTATACTATATTATTTGATACTTATTAATAATCATTTCTATACAATATACATTCTGCATATCACTATTGTATTATTTAATAAGTTCTAAACCACCTATACCGATAAAACCGTTACCGGTTTTATTTACCATTTTAGTCTGTCTAAGTATTAAATCAACAGTGCGTTTTTAATTACTAAGTATTTAATTACCATTCTAATTGCATTGATACTATTAGTGTAATTAAAATAATTTGAATTGCAATAGAATCGTATTTGGCAAAAAATCAAAACTTCAACATAGAATCGGTATTGGAATTGGCAAAATTTGGAATCTACCCATCTCTAATAACAAATATTGTTTTCAATAAATGACTAAGATTTTTTATATTCAAAACAAGTTTGTCAAAATTTTTAATGATGACGGTGTTTGATTTCTAATTTTTTATATTCATACTGAGGTGTTTTGTTTGTAACAAAAAACTTACCATTTCGTATCAAATCTTAATGTTTGTTTTGATGTTATTTCAAATCCTAAAAAAATTATATAAAACAAAAGAAGAAAGTATGAAGATATAGAGATGTTATGTCAATGAATTACAAGATGAAAGTTGTGAAACCACCATTGATTAAAGATCTGGGGTAGTATTTTCATCTCTGCATTAAGCGTTAGTCAGCTTCAGTTTTAGGATTAGGGTTAGTCACAGAAGGTTAGGGATTAGCCATAGTCGGAGTCAGGGTCTTTGAGAGGGATGGGCAAAGGGGACAAACTGAGCCGGGCGCTAAGCTTGAAGGGGCGCCGTACAATACGTTTTTTTTTTTATAGAAAAAAAAAAAAAATATTTTAATGACTGACAATCTGAAATCTGCTTAGTTTTTGCATTTGAGATTGAAACTTTAGTATTTGGAATAAAATTGCACATGAAAAAAATAATTTAAGTTTTAAATTCTATTCTTATTGTTATTAATAAACTAATTTTTACGAAAAAAATAGGATTTAGCTGTTGTAGAATTAGAAGCGGGCATGTTCCGTAAGCCCATGAACATTTAGCAATGCTAGCTCATGTTCGATTTTAAGGAAGATTATGTGCTGTTGTAATAATAATATTCGTAAGCCCATGAACAATTAGTAATGCCAGATTATGTTCGATTGTAAGTAAGATTAAAAATAATAATCATAAACTGAATATGAAAACCTTAATGCTGGTTAAAAAAAAAGTAAAATTTAAAGTCTTAGAGGATGTAATTCCTGAAGCTACTCTTCATATTTTGGTACACGCGGTTCAATGTTGGAATGTAAAAGAACAGCGAACAATTTTTAAAAAGACACTAGAAGAAAACATTTCTAAATAATACTTTTTTATCTCTTTTTCTTAGTTTGTGTTTTTACCTTGTAAATTTATTTTACAGAGGGTGATTAATAAAAAAAAATATTAAAAATTAATAAAATAGTAACTCATCAAATTTTGCTTTGAAGGAGTTGACGCAAATAGCACTGAAAACTTCAATAGGTAGTACGTTCCATGGGTTTGCTTCAACTTCTTTAACTATACGGTTGTTGAAGAAGTTGAAGCGAACGAGACAGTTGTGGTCAATTTCACAACAAAAGCGCTGTTTTTTTCAAGTAGTAGTTGACTGTTGAGGCAAAAGAGAGAATTATAGCATTGCATTTTTCAGACAAATAAGCGGCATTGACTCGGCCAGTTATCAAATATTTGAACTTTTGCATCTTGGCTGCATTCAATATGGGTAATTTACTGCACTCGATATGTTATTCGAAAGACTGTGGATCAGTGGGGGCTTAAACAATTTCTCTCAAGCTGAGCTTAATGA